CTCCTCTCCCCCCTCCCAATCACCGCCGTCGCCGCCGTCGCCGCCGTCTCCCCCTCCCGCTTCCGCATCCCCGCCGTCTCCGGTACACGGCTCTTCTCCCCGCCCATCTCGTTTTCTTCTCTGGTCATCGGTCATGTGAAGATGGCCTTGTCATAACGTGGTGTCTCGTGGTTTCATTTTTTTTACCGTCCCAGTCGCGCGGCGTCAGGCGCTCTTCGGCGGAAGAGTAGGGTTGAGGGTGCCCGCGAGACTGTCAACGAGGGGAGTGAGCGCCGGCGCGGAGGCGGGCGTGCCCGCAGCTCGAGCGGCCGCGGTGATTAGCCCTGAGGAGGCCGTGGAGTGGGTCAAGAAGGACAGGAGGCGCCTGCTCCACGTCGTCTACCGCGTCGGCGATCTTGACAAGACTATCAAGTAAGTAAGCCGACCCCGTCCATCGTTCGCGATGAATTTGCCTTGACCTCTGCGGTTTCTGTCAATTTCGGATGGGGTTGCTGTCCTCTAGGTTTTATACGGAGTGCTTAGGGATGAAGCTGCTGCGGAGAAGGGACATCCCGGAGGAGAGGTACACCAACGCCTTTCTTGGGTACGGACCAGAGGACTCGCATTTTGTTGCGGAGCTCACTTACAGTAAGCTTCAAATGTTAAAACACCCATGTCATCTCTTTGTCTTCCAGAGACTCTACTTTTTTCTATTGAATTAACTCGCGAATTCATTTACTGGCAGACTATGGTGTCGAAAGTTACGATATTGGGTCTGGTTTTGGTCATTTTGGAATTGCTGTTGAGGATGTAAGATTCGATCTCCATAGCTTTTTTTTTTCAGTTGTTGAGGTTCAGTACTATGTCAGTCGGTCTAAATTTTTTACTTCTGCTTTCTGTAGTTAAGCAGCACTAATCGTGTGTCAAGTATAAGTAGCTCGTCTATAGCTTTCTTCTACATGAATGAGCTCAGGTTCAAAACACCCACAAGTTCCAGCACCAAATCCTAGTTGTATTTGTGTTTCCTTTTCATCGACAGTTATGTCACATGAGCCTAAGGAATATCTAGCCATGCACCATTCTTTTCTGAGGTGTTAACGCTTAACTACAGACTTAACCATCCAGACATTTTCTAAACAAAAATTGGGGCTGTTATTTCATGAGATGTGTTTCGTTTCCCCATATTTTCATGTCCATTACTAACATAGATTGGACTGGAGTGCTCATGAGCCCCAAGGAACCTTTAGTTTGGGGAGGTGAATGGGGCTTGAAGTTGTGCAGTATAACCTCCGAACATCTGGGATGCATGTTTAGGCAGGATTTATCTTGACTCAAGCTAGGATGATTGTGAATACCTTTGGTTTCTTCCGTGGAAATTACGTTAAGAGTCTTCAGTAAGAACTAATAAATGATAGCTAAGCAGAAATGATTTTTTTTCTTCTTTTACCATCAACTTTTGATTTGTTTGTATTAGGGATTTACTCCCTCCATCCCGAAATAAGTGTCGCTGACTCAGTACAACTTTGCACTAAAGTTATACTAAATCAGTGACACTTTCTTTTGGACGGAGGGAGTATTACTTCTTATCATTATCTTCAGCCATGATACTCAAATGTTTCCTGTATCAGGCTAGTCATTGTTTTAACTGTTACTGGGAAACTATATGTACTTTCTCTGGATTATTATGTGTTCAAATTTCAACATCTTATCCATTAGCAATATGTTGGATGATTTAATTTTCCATATGCATACATCCATAAGAGCTGGCCGGAATATTAAATTTCATTGCTAGAATATTGCAGGTCGAAAAAACAGTGGAACTTATTAAAGCCAAGGGAGGAACAGTAACAAGGGAACCAGGTCCGGTAAAAGGTGGAAAGTCAGTCATTGCCTTCATTGAAGATCCTGATGGTTACAAGTTCGAGCTTATAGAAAGAGGTCCCACACCTGAGCCTTTGTGCCAAGTAATGCTTCGAGTGGGAGATCTTGATCGTGCTATAAGTTTTTATGAGAAGGTAACCTTTTTGGCTTGGACTGGGATTTCTATAGAAGTTTCTCATTTCTGTTCTGTTTGTTGCGGTGAGTTACTAATTTGTGACATTATTTAGGCATTTGGTATGGAACTTCTTCGCAGGAAAGACAATCCTCAATACAAGGTTTTCATATGATGCTTGCGGACATACAGTGCCTTTTACTTTGGTCATATAATTTAGAATACTTCAAAAGTTTATTCGAGCAATTCTTCTTGGTTCAGCGTTATTGATTTAACTTTGAGATGGTAAAAGGTTTCACCTGTGGCAAGTTTGTTGTAGGTTATAGGCAAGTTTATTGTAGGCCTTTTTCTTCTGGTGTAGACAAGCCTTTTATGGCTGTAGTAAAGGTTATGAAAGGCATAACTCCATGCTCGCCTAGGCACGCATTAGAAGCTACGGAAGGCATAACTCCGTGTTGACTTCCTTCTGTGTTCCCTGATACCAGTCATTAGGGAGAATCTCAGATTTCCTTCCTTCTTGGTTAAATATTTTTCTTGATAACTTCAAAATGATTTACTATGCCAAGTCCAACAGGCTGCAACCACAATGATTCAGCATGTAAACTTCGACATTATGCTATAACAGGCAGCAACCACAATGATTCAGCATGTAAACTTCGACATTATGCTATAACTGCTAGGTTGTTTTCACATGAAACTTGTCCTTCTATGACCAAGGTTCAAACTTCAGAATACCTACAATTGTATAGACAATGATTACGGACTTACGATAATGTGTGCTGCTTGTTTTGACCGTGACATTTTCATTCAGTGTAGTGCCACGTTCAAGCTGTGTGGTCAGTGACCCCATGGCCTTTTCCCATACACATGAAAATTCATGCAAATGTCAGAAAGCAATGTAAAATTTACAAATCATATATTTGAACCCTTAGGGTTGTAACACTGCCACTTCTCATTGGTTCCAGTTACCACATCTATTTGTGCAAGCACCTTCTTTTGATATTTCTCCTCTTAATAATTTTGCATCGAAATGTGCATATTCATCATCCCTTCCATGTGAACTTAATAGAATCTTTAAAATTCTAATTGTACCCATTCTTTAGTATACCATTGCTATGATGGGATATGGCCCTGAAGACAAACATGCTGTACTGGAGTTGACATACAATTATGGTGTCAAGGAATATGATAAAGGAAATGCTTATGCACAGGTATATTCTATACAATGGTCATCATATTACAAGTGATCTTCCATTGTTTGCTCATGCCTCTTGTGTTACACTTCTGATGGTTGATATTTGTGTCCTTCCAGATTGCTATTGGTACTGATGATGTCTACAAGACCGCAGAAGTTGTTAGACAAAACGGGGGACAAATAACTCGTGAACCTGGCCCATTACCTGGCATTAGTACCAAGATAACTGCCTGCACAGATCCAGATGGCTGGAAATCAGTATGCGTTTATCTTGATTTGGTTTCACCATTCTCTCATTTTCTCCCCTTCATGTGTGTGGGAGTTGTATTTATTTTGAAAGATTGTCTGTTCCTGGTCTTTTTCTGTATGCCACAGCTACTATTGCTGACCATTAGCCAACAGTTTAAGAACTACATTAAACAAAGGTTCTTTTTTTGCATTGATGCCCAAACCAAAGTAGGACAGATCTCTCAAAAAACGTGTATACTAGAAATGTGTTTTTCGTTGTGCTATTGCTCTTTATTTCACAAGTAAACCTGCAGTTTATGCTCACTGTTACACTTATTTCAATTGTAGGTATTTGTTGACAATCTAGATTTTCTCAAGGAGTTGGAAGAATGAGTTTTCAGGAAGATATCATCTTCGTACAGGTTTCACTGGGC